TTGATGGGTGGGGTAAAGCATGTATCCTTATGGCCTAATATGAAGAAATTATTAAGTGTGGTCACCGGACCGCCAAGAGGCAAATCAGAGTGCACCACATAACCCGGCACACAGTGGTACATAGCACCGGTACACAGTAAAAAAGTAATATTACACGCTCTGATTTGTCTTTGAACGCCGTCAGGTGACCGCACAGAATAATTTTCCATAAGTATGAGGAAGTAGTTTTTCCATTGCTTATTCCACTTTAAACAAACTTTTAATTATTTAGATAATCATAATATGGCCAAACATCAAAAGTTTTATATTTTATTTTGATTTTATGATATTTATCTTCATTACATTAGAACAGTAAAATCATTATATCTCATCTCAACTCATGTTGATGCTTTCGCAAGCCGTCGGTCTCACTATCATTTCTACCTTTGCACAACGTTGATCTCATCACCTTCATCACACATTGCCAATTGATGAATGTAAGCAAAATGCAATGGAGTTTGTTAGGGCAAAGAAAAGGAAGTCAGGATGGAGCTCACTATGGCAAGATATTGGTTCCTCTTCGATAAGCTTAGTCTGTTGAATAGTGAAATACATTTAAAGTTTAATGTGTTTATCAGTTTATATGTATAATCTTTTTTGGGAAATTTACATACATACCACTTTCTATCATCCTATTTACATATCTAACATCTAAAAGTTTAATATTACATGTATACCACCCTATATTATTTTAATAGGGTTTTTTTTTTTTTTTTTTTTTATCGTGAGAAGGGATGGTTATGTGATCGTGGGAGCAACGTGTGGAGTCAAGGGTAGTTTCTTTGTGTTGGTTTGATCGTGGCTGAGGTGGAGTCGGTCGGGTTCTCTGACAGTTAGAGTTCAACAAATGCCCCCCAACTAACATGATATGCGCTTAGTAGCAGATCATGTTTGTTGTAAGCTAGTTGATTCTACGGATCTCTAAAATTAGATTTTAGATGTCACATAGAGGATCTTTTTAGAAATCCATGATTTATCTTTAAGATTTGTCATGAATTAATATTTCTTCTACTCTAGCTTTGTGTTTTCATGAGTTTGATGAAGAATCCTTATTGACGACCTAAACTCTTTAGAATGATATTAGGTCAGTGATAAATAGTTATCAGTCCGAAGCTTTATGCATGATGGACTTTGATGATAACAATATTCCTTTAGTTCACCCTATGGCTTTATAAGAACTGTGGAATGACTTCTTTGATCCTGAGCTTTGTGCTTTGTCGGATATTCTGAAGAAGTGAAGCTCCTTCGATCTTAGCTTCATGCTTAACAGATTTATTGAAGGATGCTTCCTATAGCTTGACGAAAATTTTTATTATGGCTTGGTGTCTTTGATTTAGTTGAGAATCTTTTGAATTTTGTCTCAATCCATTTGTCAGTTGAGAAAATCTTCTAAATCAGAACTGCTTTGATTTGTTAAATTTGAAAAATATCAGACTTGATAGTATTTGTCATCGGGCTAACAAAACATGTGTTTTCCTATTATGGCCTCTTATAACGGCTTGTTGAGTAGGTAAAGCTATCAGTGACTCGGCCATATATAGGCTTGTTGAGACTGATATCATATATGTTTGAGCACTGAACTTGTACTATAGAAATTCATATTTTGTCAAATTTGATTTGTTGAGGTAGTTAGATCAAAATATCTCCTCAATCCTGTATTTATGCAGTTGTAGCTTCATAAATGATTTTGAATATTTATTTGGGGATCAACGATAACCGAAATAAATATTTAAAATGCCCCCTGCATTGAAGGGAAATTTCATCCGTCATTATATTTTTGACATTTTTAAATTTAAAAATGTCCCCTGTCTTGTGGGAGAATTTCTAAGACAACTTAGAAATATTTTCTCCTTTTGGAGGAGATGATCTTTAGGTTGCTTTCTTAAGAATGATATTTCTTCAGATATCTCCCATTGATCGGGGGCATAGGTCGTTGACCTTCTAGATCTATGAGTTGATATACTCCTCCTTGGTACACCTTTTTGATAACAAAAAGATCTTACCAATTTGGTTCAAATTTACCACCAATTCTTTGGTGTGAAATAATTATCTTCTCAACACCAATGATTTCATTCAGGATGTTTCATTTCATAGCTTCAACTTGAATATTGATATTTCGGTTCTTCTGCCCTGTGCTTTGTGCTGCGGACATTTGATGAAGAATTATCTGATTTGTTTTTACTGACTTGTCAGGAGATTTATACCTTCTGCCATTTGCTTCTAGCTTTTGCAGGCTTGATGAAGGAGTAGATGTCGGAGACCTAAATTCTTTAGGTTTGCACTAGGTCGGTGGTGAGAAGTCATCTTGCTATTCAGCTCTGATATCTCTTTATCATTCTCTTTCATTTGAAATTTCAAACGTCTTTGTGCTTGCGCAAGTGTTTCAGTAAGCACTTCTTCTTGATTATCATTTTGTCCATCATCTGAAGGGACTTCTTCTTCTTCTTCTAACTGCTCGTGCTGAGCTTGATCTTCTTGAGAGGTTTTAGAAGAAGTGGGCACTGCTTCGTTGCGTCGTCTATAGCCACGTGTTTGATGTGGCTCATCATTGTGCCCCACCATGTAAATTACCTCAACTTCCATGGTGTCTTCATCATCATCTTTTTCTTGTATAGAAATCTCAGAGTGACGTTTCCAAAAGATTTTTGGCTCTTCATGTGGTATAGGAACTTCTTCAATTAGAGGAGTATGATCAAAGTTGACCTTCTTCTGAGAGGATGAAGTTGGTTGGCAATAGGATTCCTTGGAAGATTCTTCAAAGTGTCGACTATTGCGAATATCAGTAATATGTACCTTTTTCTTAGGTACGCAATGTTGAAGATTCTTGTGAAAGGCGGATCTCTGGGAGGCTGGACCAGATGTCACGCCTATATCGACTTTCTTATCAAATAATCTTCTTTCAGGAGGTCTCGGTCTCCAAATTTCTTTACCCTTCCATTGGGACCTTTTGAAAGCGGATTCCTGGATGCGAGGTCTAGGTTTCACGCTCCAATGTTCACCAGGTGGAGCTGATCTTGATTTCTCTTGAGTTAACATGGTAGATGGTAACTCTCTTTGTGGGATTCTCGTAGTTTTGTTTGTAAATGGCCCATTATATTTCTTCTTCATTAAGCCATTCTCCTTTGCAACTTTCAGAACCCTGTGCACTCTAGCAGATAAAGTTTCATATCTCTTTTTCTGAGGAACAGGAGTTTGTCGTTGTTGTTCCCAGAAAGACTGCTTCAATTCGCCAGTAGGACTATTCCTCTTCACCCATTTTAGATTTTCAAACTTATTATGGGTGGGAACATTAACTTCTGGCTCTAAGGCTTGGAGTAAAGAGGAGAGATATTAACAAGGGCTCATTATTTGATGAGAGTGCCTCAGTAATGATTGTAGGACCAATTCACCAATGTTTGATGAGGTGGGGTAAAGACATAGTATCCATTTATGCCTAATATGAAGAAATTATAAGTGTGGTACCCTGGACCAAGCCAAAGAGGGCAAATCAGAGTGCACCACATTAACCCGAGCAAACACAGTAGTAGCCATAGCACCGGTACAGAGCAAAAAAGTAATATTACCGCTCATTGATAATTGTCTTTTGAACGCCGTCAGGTGACCGCACAGAAAATTTTCCATAAGTATGAATGGAAGTGTTTTTCCATTGCTTATTCCACTTTAAACAAACTATTTAATATTATAATAATAATAATATGGCCAACATCCAAAAAGTTTTATATTTTATTTGAATTTTATGATAATTACTTTCATACATTCAGAACACGTAAAATCATTATAATCCATGCATCTCAACTTCATGTTGAATGACTTTCGAACACGCCGATCGGATCTCACTATCGTATTTCTACCTTTGCAACAACGGTTGATCTAACCATCAACCTTCATCACACATTGCCCAAATTGATGAATCGTAAAGCAAGAATGCAATAGGAGTTTAGGTTAGGAGAAGAAAAGGAAGTCAGGATGGAGTCTCACTATGGCAAGATAATTGTTCCTCTTACGTAGCGTAGTCTGTTGATAGTGAAATACATGATTAAAGTTTAAAGTGATTAATAATCAGTTTATATGATTAATCTTTTTTGGGAGATTTACATACATTACCATTCTATTCATCTATTTACATATCAACATCTAAAAAGTTAATATACAATGTACCACCCTAATAACTATTTTAATATCAAATATACACTTATAATTTTCTTCATCACTCATATAATTTTCATTTCTACATCATATTTTGATATGAAAAATAAACTATGGGTGGTATTATATGTAATATTAATGTTTTAGATTGTTAAAATACGATAGATAGACATAGTATTAAGTGCGTATGTATGTAAACTGCTTTCATATTTTTATAGTTGAAATGAATCATACTCAATTAGAAGAGAAAATAAGGCTCTCTTGGACGAGTACTGTTTTTTTGTAAAGTGGTTGTCAAGCTACTGTACAAAGAAGTTTTTAAAATTTAATTCTCAGAAAGTAGTTTTCAATTACAAAAATTTACTTTAAAGTAAGCAAAAATGTTCTGGCTAATAGAAATTATGATTATAACCTAAAAGAAGAGTAGTATAGAAAGCTATTCCAAATATAAAGCTAAATTTAGCCTAATAATGAATGAAATTGACATCATCATGTGGTCCTAATATATATTAAAAACATAGAAAGTGAATTTAATCTAGTGGTACAAGGAAGTAATTTCTTTTGTAGTTATTTTTTTTTTAATTTGAATATAATTTTAAATTTTAAAAACTTTATATACATATATAAATAATATACTTTGAATGTAATACTATTTTTATTTTGTATAAAAATTAAATTAAATTCAATATATTAATTTGAAATTATCCTATTGTGAGCTAAAAGTTACTTTTTTTCTTCTAGAAGTCTGCCCATCCCCTATATATAGATATTACTCGCCTAGCTTGCTTGATCATAGAGAACCAGAGAGCTCAACTATGGAAGAAGAAAATGGCAAACTTCATATTGTGATGGTGCCATGGTTGGCCATGGGCCATCTCCTTCCTTTCTTCGAGCTCTCCAAATCCCTCGCTCTTAAAGGTCTCCAGATCTCTCTTTTTCACCACCCCTCCAACATTCATTGCAAAAGAATTTTTAGACCGTTTCAGGATACATGATTTGCGCGGAAAAGATTCCAACTGCATCAGATCTTATCCTTTCCCAACAATAGTTACTTTTCGCCGATTTGAGGCTCTCAGGATCCCGCCAATTCTTTCAAAAAATTGAATGATCCGAGCAATGAAATAATTTTTACCAGAACATTATAGGAGTTTGAGTCCAAATTGGATCGATTTACTTGGCGAAAATTGTATCCCTGTTGGATTCTCCTTGCATCTATTGACGAGGAGGAGAGAGACATGGATGGGAATATCCAAATGGCTTGATAAGCAAAAGAACAATCTGTGATTATGTTGGTTTCGGAGTTGAGGGCGATTCTTACACAGAGAGCAGATTGAGGTCGATTAGGGTTCTGTGGTGGAAGGGATGGTGGTTGGGCGGCGTTGGCGGTTTTGCCGATGAAAATATGAAACATGGATTAAATGCAAGGCATTGGTGGAGAGTGGTTAACGCGGTCGAAGTGGAGAGGAATGATGAAGATTCTGGAGAGGAATTGCGAGGAAGTTGAGATTCTGATGGTGGAGGAAGAAGGAGAGGAGGTGAGGAAGAAGCGAGAAAAGGGAAAGAGATTTTTGGGAGTAAGAAGCTTCAGGAGGAGTGCATCACTGAGCTTGTGAAAGAATCTATGGAAGAGATGTAAGATGTCAGGTAAATCAATTTGGAGTTGGTATGTTTGTTTGATTTATTTTTAGTTATGCATTTTTGAGACCTACTGCTAATATATTAAGGTTTAGGTTTCGCTTGAGACGGCTTTTTACTGCTTCTTAAAGCTACTTTTTAGTACTAAAATTTACTTTTTGAAACAGTAAGAAAGTCATCCAAAACGAAAGTCTTAGTTTGTGACAACTTCTTGTTGCTTTCTAAAACAACTTTTTAAGTACAAAAATTTCTTGAATTGAAATTTTTACTAGAGCGCGTTTTAGGAAGCAGTACGAAGAGCTATCCTAGGCTTTCGTTTTAACACGCTTTTTTATTATTTCTTAAAGCTATTTTTTTCATAAAATTTTAAAATTGTATTAAAAAATTGCTTAAGAAATAGTATTGAAATCTGTGGGCTCCGAAAAATCCATTTTTAGATGTTGTGATCCGGCCTCTCCACGTCATCCGCTTATTTTCTTTTAAGCGTTTGTATGGATGAAGACAACAGAGAGTTTTAACTATATTAGGTTCCGGGGGAATTTTCAGAAGGCAGATTGGGTTTTAGATAAGACACTACCCAGAGATTTCGCCCTCATTTGGTGAGGACTTTTTGATCTGAGTTCTGGTTTCCTATAGGCGCAAGCCCTATAGTTAATTACCCCTCTTGATAACAAGAAGAGA